GCGCGAGCGTGAGAGAGAGAGAGAGAGAGAGAGAGAGAGAGAGAGAGAGAGAGAGAGAGAGAGAGAGAGAGAGAGAGAGTGACCAATCTAACTAACTGCACGCCTTGCTCCCTCCCCCCCCCACAATAGCAGAATTGCCGATCTCCCGACATGAGAAAGGTGAGTTCAAATCCGGACAACCACCAACCCAGCAAACCACAACTGAAAGGATTGCAAACTGTGATCAGGTGTTTGACAGGACAAAAAAGCAAAAAAAAAAAAAAAGAAGAATATGTATCCAAGGCTTACAAAGCAGCAGCAGCATTCCATCGGCAGTGTCAACAACAATGCACGGGTGAGTTTACAAAACACCCCAACCCCACCCAAACCCACACCCGACCAGCAAACCTCTACCTACCCTCATTTGCACCCTTTTCCCTTCATTTTTTTGCGGGCGAAGCCGCAACAGGTAACCTTGTTATTATTATTATTATTATTATTATTATTATTATTATTATTCCTTTCTGCATGCATCTGTGCAAATAATTTGTTTTTATTTTTGATTAGTTGAGGTGTTACGAACTGCTGACACCTGACAGACAGCTGTAGACTAGAACTGTAGTAGTCTACCATTTCCAGTTCTGTTTACCCCTGCTGTTTGAGAACTTAACAAACTAGGAGTAAGATCATTTGTAGAGTCTGTGTATACGCTGGTCACATCACCTGAACGGTTGCCTGGGTTATGTACCGAATATTTATTTATTTTTGCAAACCGGTCAGACACATGCTGCGGTATGTCCCATAGAGAACACTAGTGCAGACAGTGATCTGCTCTAGTCAGACACATGCTGCGGTAGGTCCCATAGAGAACTCTAGCCGATGAGGGGGAATGAGCCGACGATCGGAGGTTGACACAGCAGATGGCACATAATATGCCAGTAGTGTTTCAGGTTCTGTTACCAGGAGACAAGAGAAGATTTCGAGCGGAGAGGAGGGCCAAGCGTTTGCAGAGGGCTAGAGAAGCAGGAGCAGTGGCGGAGTGCACATTGGCAATGGCTGCCGCAGCGGCAGCGACTTTGCAGACTAGTCAGATGCAAAGCCGACAGATCTCATCATCTTCTTCTTCTTCGTCAGGTCAGACCTCATCCTCTAGTCATCAGATGGCAGGCTCGCAGTTTAGCCAGCCAAATCCACCCACTAGGGAGGATCTAGAGATCCAAGAGAAAGCGAATCTCCGCTGATAGTCAGAGAACGAACTCATAAATGCAGCAACCAGAGAGAGAAAAGCAAGAAATAGAAAAGTCAGGCTGGGGAGCAGAGAGGCGGATAAGGATGCGTTAGAGGGGTTGGATGACTTGTTTTTTGATGGCACGAGCAAGGTGCTCAACGCGAGCATGCTGACCATGCATGAGTACATGGACAGCAAACTGCATGATATCCAGTCAACCCTTGACCATATACTTAGGGCCATGTAGGGGATGGGAAGACCAGTCCCATCCACAACAGGCAGACCTAGTATCAGGACGCAGCCTGTATTCCCGCCTCCGTCTACGTTGCCGGCGATGTCAGGCACCTTTGTCCCTCAGTTTGGCATACCTTTGTCAGGTGGTATGTCAGCAGTAGGTGCTCAGACTGCTGCTTCTTCATCTTCAGATGCTGTAGCTGCAGGGCGGCAGCTGGTCCAGGAACCTGTGCTGCAACAGGTTCCAGCTGGACCTAACAACAATGGTTCCCAAAGACACAGTTGTCTCCTCCTGAAACCTTTTCAGGTGCTTAGAAGGAGGAGAGCCTTAACAGTTGGTTGAGGACTATGCCAATGTGGGTAAGGGTTGAGCGGATGTTGCCGGACGAGGAAGTGATCGTGGTTGCGTAGGAGGATGAATGAGTGGGCAAAGACTTGAGATTCAAACTCGTTTTTGGAGTTGGTAGAAGAGCAGTGGCACAACCCTTAGCAGGCTAAGCAGGCCACTGACGCGTTGGCACGACTTGATAAGAAGAAGTACAAGAACGCCCACGAGCTGACCAACGCCGTTGAGAAACTCATTGTGGTCCCGAGTGAGCGCTATGATCCCCCAAAAGTCCTCCCGACCATGTACCTAAGATATCTTCCCACGGACATCAAGAACATGCTGGTCAGTGAGGCTAACATCGAAGTGGACGATCTTGCTTCCTTTAGCAAGAAGGCCTTAGATTTACATGTCGAGCTAGGTTGTGCGCAGCAAGTTGCTGTAGACGGAAGAAAGAAGAAGATCACACAAGATTGGAAAAAGAAAGGTACTCGGTTGATGATGATCGATTCCGATGCGAATCAAGTAGAGATCGATGACATTTCTGTTCTTGTGGAGGAGACAAAGTTAGGCGGCGAGGAGAGGGTAGAGGGAGGAAACCTCACTGCAGCAACCAAAGGTAAGGCTGCTGGTCCGCGCAAAGACGGCAAACAAAAGAGTCAGGGGAAGGCTTAGGTGTCGCCAAATGTTCCTGCACGGTTGAGAGTTGGCCTTAAACAAGACATGTGGAGAGACCAATACATGCAAGGAGCTTGCATAAACTGTGGCCAGTATGGGCTCCAACATTTCAATTTCAAAAGCACGAATGTTTCTCAGAAGATCCCACCCACGTTGGGTGCTGGCGGATCTTTCGCTCAGGGAGGTGCTTCTACTAGCACATCCCAGGGAAACACGTCGGGCCAGTAGAGGTTATAGCTGCCTCTACTCGTGCTGAAGTGGACGATGTTCCCTCACCACTTCAAGAGTTGGCCGAGGCTATTGACTCGCTTGTCACCCCGCAAACATGTGTAGACCAAACAATACTCTGTTCGTTAGACGTGTTTGAGGCCTTAGAGGACCCAGAGGAGTGGCCAGAAAGAGACCCTCGTGAGTCCTGGGTGGCTATGTCTAAGGGTCCTAAAGGGGAGCACTTCGTTGTGGAAGTCGGTGTAGGTGGCCGAAGGGTGGTGCCTTCGTGGACAATGACAAAATTTCATAAGTCACAACTGTGGTGAGAGGTTGCACTTAGGGGACCGGGTGCAGCGGCTAAGTAGATTTGTGGCTTCTACTTTAGTCAACAAGGACTGCATGGTTGTCCACCACTACGTCAAGGACGTGGTCTGCACTTTCTCCTATGGAGGATGGGAACTTAGTCATAAGATTTCGTTCCTCATTAGCGGCGACTTACCATTACATGTTGTTGGGTATGTACTACCTCGAGGTTGCCAAGCCCTAGTTTGATTGAGACCGAAAGATGCTTATGCATGTGTTGCCAGATGGGAGGACCGTTAGACTAGCTAATTACAAGGCTAGCAGGTTAGTTAACTCATATGGTTGCATTTGCGCATCGGTGTTCTCTAAGTACTATAAACAGAACCACGAGGAGTGTATGCATATGGTCATCGTCTTTGAGGAAGGGGAGGCCGTTAAATCACCCCCAGAGATCGGAGTTATCGTTGCTAAGTACCGTGATCTCTTTTATGAGCTTTCGGGTGTCGTAGAAGGGAAGTCGTTCATGCCATAAAAATCATCTCAGGCAGTAAAACACCAGAGGGGAGTCTACAAGATGGCCCCGACCGAGTTGGATGAACTTCAGCGGAAACTCAAGACCTCACAGAGAAGGGTTGGATACGGCCTAGCACATCTCCCTACGGTTCACCAATTTATCCGTTCCAAAGAAAGGGGGACCACAGAGGATGTGCATTGACTGTAGAGGTCTGTCATTGCAGTGAAAAATGCAAAACCTCTACCCCGCATCAACTGCATAGGGTGTAGGGATGTAGCTACTTTACTAAATACATTTAAAGTCTCGACTACCATCAAATTGCTATCGGACCGGAGGATATTGCGGTGATGCCTTTTGGCCTTTGCAATGCGCCAGGTACATTACAGCCCGCTATGAATGAGATATTTCACGACTACCTAGATAAGTTTATTGTCGTGTATCTCGAAGACATTCTTATCTTTAGTAAAACTGTTGAGGAGCATGCGTAGCACATTGACCTTGTGCTTGGACTTCTAAGACAACACAAGTATAAGATCGCCTTTGCACTATGTCGGGTACATTCCAGCACACCATGAATAATATATTTCACGACTACCTAGATAAGTTTATTGTTGTGTACCTCGAAGACAGTCTTATCTTTAGTAAGACTGTTGAGGAGCATACACAACACGTTGACCTTGTGCTTGGACTTCTACGACAACACAAGTAGAAGATCAACTTGGAGGAATGCGAGTTTGATAAGTATAAGAATACTTGGGTTATGAGATATTCGCGGATGAACTTAGGCCCGAAGATGCGAAGGTGGCTGGTATTCGAGACTGGTCACGACATCAGTTTGTGAAGGAGGTCAGGTCCTTGGGAATGACAGTCTACTACCGCGACTTTGTGAAGAACTTTAGTA